TAAAATTTCAGTTGTTGCTTGGACCTAGTGTTCCGAGCTACGCATTCATCTTTTTCTTAAACATCTGGGGAGGTGGTGACAGAGGATAGGGGAGTGATCAGGGGTCCTCAGCTTTCATTTGGGGACGGAGGGGTACTGGTTTTTGGAGGCGGGTTGATGCCATCATCATCATTATTAGTGGTCTGTTCATCATCATTGTGAATGGTAGTTGGGGTGGAGGGGTGAATGGTAGATAGGTCACGATCTGAGATGTGGAAGAGGAGGAATAGTGATGATCATCAATGGATTGGGGGGGGGGGTGTAGGCACATCATCATTCTCTGTCACACAGTTCTCACACTTTTTCTTAAGCCACCTTTTTAACAGCAGAATTCGACCGCAAAGGTGGTTGCAACCGCCCATGTAAAGAGCCCTATAAAAAATCACTGAAGTTTTATTATTGTACCCCGCTTGAAAAGAGGGGGATATTAATTTGGGTATGTCTGTCCGTCCGTATTTCTGTCTGTCTGTAACGCTTTCGTTTCCACACGATATCTCAAGAACCCTTTGAGCTTTTGCAATGAAATTAAATATAACAACTCCCTGTGGCCTAGGGAAGACCTTTTTTTGATTTTGAGGTCAAAAGGTCAAAGTTCAAGGTCATAAATAAGCAAATTTTGTCTGTTATAACATTTTCATTTCCACACGATATATCTTGAACCATTTGAGCTATAGCAATGAAATTAAAATAACAACTCCTTGTGGTCTAAGGAAGACCTTTATTGATTTTGAGGTCAAGGTCATAAAAAAGCAAATTTTGTCTGTTATAACACTTTCCTTTCCACGCAATATATCTAGAACCATTTGGGCTATTGCAATGAAATTAAATATAACAACTCCCTATGGCCTAAGGAAGACCCCAATTGATTTTGAGGTCAAAGTTCAAGATAGTAAAATTATACATCCTGTTTGTGTGTAACACTATCATTTCCGGGCGATATTGCAAGAAGATTTTGAGCTTATGTAATGTAATTTTATACCAAAACTCCCTAGGACCTCGCTCACCCCTCACAAAGTGCCCCGCCCCGTTTGTTTTACTAGTATTTATCGTATTATCTGTCGCTTTTTTTTAGCACTGGGGCATGCGGAGAATTATTGCGTATAAAAAGGTTCTCGGTGGACTTTACGTTCTTGTTACATCTATTAGAAATGTTTAATAAAGGCTAAATAAATCAAACACCATGAATTGTGTAAACTTTTGATAATACCAAACATGAATATATACATGTATGTGACTTCACTTCTGAATATACATGACTTCATTTAAAAACGATTCTGTGGTCCAATGGTATGTGGTATCGAATCTCGGACGGATCCTTTTATGTTTTTTTTTGGAGAATAACTCAATTGAGTGGAAAATCGAGAGCGTTGTTAGTGCTTATAAGTATAGTACAATGAAACATATGGAGCATTCAAGATCGAAAATCCATAAAACAATACAAAATAGGAGCAGACCTCCAAAACATCAGAGGTTGGATCAAGTGCCATGGAGGAGTGAACATCCCCTGTCGATCGGTCATGTATGTTCCTTGTCATGATCTTTTTTTAATGATAGTATTCAGCAAGTAAAAAGAATAATTTATGAGGTTATAAAAACATCATTACAGTGTGATAAATATTCAATATAAAAAGAATCTTTTATGTATACTCATAATTAAGAATAAGCAATCAAATCTTTAAACGCATATTGACATACATGTATTTTATTTGCTTCAGTATACATGTATACATTTAATAATTCTACAAATTCAGTCAGGGGGATCCGACTTTTTCCCAAAGCGGGGGACAAAAATTCTCTGAATTAGCTTGTTAATTTTCTTATCAATATTTAGGTAGTCTTTATATTATATCTTCTTCGTTTCCCAAATCAAACTGGAAATTAATATCAAAATAAAGACACTCAATGTAATACAATTGACCACATTATTACCAAGTCTTCCAACGGTTTATTTAACTTCGCCAACAGTTTTTGTTTGAGAATTCCTAGTTCTGATTCTAAAAAAAAATAAAATGTAAGATTTCAATATGGCAACGTTGCTCAATTATTACTTTTGTTCTTCAAAGTTAAATGTAAAGGATTAATAATCCATAATTACTTTCAATGGTTACTTTTAACACTTAGAGATTCACATATCATCTCATTTTGTGGATAATCAGTATCTAAATCAGTTAATTCATTTAAAAGTATTTACCTGTATAAACAGTGATTCCTGCTATTGTTACGGTTGATGTTGTTTTTTAGAAAAAATAAGGATCATGAACAGTTTATTATAATTACACTTCTACTACAACTTTTACTACAAAATGTCACGCGACGTAGCATAAGTCAAGCTGACCTCCTAAATGCTGATGATGAGGTCTCTATGGAAAAAAAACAATTATAATATTGTTACTACAGTCTACATGTCTTTCAATTAATTTACATTTTAAAAAATAAATAAAAAGATAGTTTACATTACCACAAGTCTTCTACGGATAGGACAAAAGTCAAGTAATTGATGATATTAATTCTAACGTATATACCTGTTTGTCCGGACTTGGTCAGCATAGTTGTCTCTGTAAAAAAAAAAATAACTCATTAAATCTTACCATTGTAAAACAACATGTTATTGGACATATACAAATATTTTATTTATTTGTTTTTTTTTGTATTTCTTTAAAAACCGAAATCAAAGGAATGTTTACAGTACATTACTACTGGGGGCATATCAATCAATGTCACGTGATGTAGTAAAAGTCACGCCTCTGGGAAAAAGCTGACCTCCTAGATCACGTGGCTTTTCATGCATACCTGCTTTACTAGCTGTAGACAGAAATGTAGATTTACGCTCTCTCCTCCCTTCTCAGCTTGTTTTTTTTTCTATTTAAACATGTTTGATAAGAGATAAACTAAAGAGTGTCCGTCAGAATATTCACATTAATTGAACAGATATTCATAACACAATTTCAAGATTTAATTGTCATTCTTTAACAATTTAAACAAAAATTCAAAAATGCGAACAATTTTCCTAGGCAGTCTACTAGTCTCAATATAAATCATGGTAGTATTTGTTTTCCTTCTAACACCTTAAACATACATGTCATTTTAAAAATTTTAATTGCCGAATAATTTAAATAAATGATTGGTGAAATATTTTATGACATACCGATCCGAAATTATTTAAAAAACGTTGACAATATATTTTTGTTATGTATAATTCTAATCCATTTACTTTTATCTTAAACAGTATATTATCAAAATCGTATTAGTTTTATTTCAATTTCGAAAGTCATGATATCTTAAGTTTTGAGATATTACAGTAATCTCTCTCTCAAAAAATAAAAACTGTCAAAATATATGTCGGAAATAAAATTATAAAATATGGGAAATAAAAAAAAAACAGTAAATAAAATGAAGCCGATAATGATCAATAATGCACAGGTAAGGTGACGAAGAAAACCAAAAAAAAAATTACATGTGCATGAAGTGATTACATGACTACGTAGGTAGAAACGATTAACACGATATCCACCTTTTTTTAATCTACACTCTGTGTCACTTTTAAAATGTAAGAAATAATTGAATCGTACAAGGTTTACTTACCTGCGCAGACTTATAAAATCATTTATGTTATATAATGAATAACATAATGTTTTTTTTTCGGATCTGTATGCTAACGTGCGATGTCCATTTCGTATTTTTTTTTTTAACATTTGAACTTTTATATATGACTTTTCTCACCTTTTTTTTAAGCAAACACAGGGGATGTCACAACCAAAAGATATGCCATCCCCACAGAGGGTACAAAGACGCGAGAAGATTGAAACCAGAAGTCTCTGTCGAGACTGTAGCTCTACTGGTTTGTACTTATCAAAAACAATTTTTATGTATGTTTGTGTAGTTTACTTGTGTGCCAACTTATTTCGAAATCAACATAAAACTGTAAAAGGAGTAGCGTTTTAAAAGAATTTCACAGATAATTCTATTTTTAGTAACCATGGTAAAACCGTTCATCGAAATTAAAAACCAATGCACTATTCTATGTATCTTAGTGAAGACTACTTATGTGCCAAGTTATATTAAAATCAAACTAAAACTGTAGAAGGAGTAGCATTTTAAGGGATTTTTACAGAAAATTCTATTTTTAGTAACCATGGCAACACCATTCATTGAAATCAAAAAACCGATGCACTATTCTGTGAATCTTAGTGTAGTCTACTTGTGTGCCAAGTTATACTGAAATCCACATAAAACTGTAGAAGGAGTAACGTTTTAAAGGAATTTCACAGAAAATCCTTTTTTTTAGTAACCAGGGCAACACCGTTCATTGAAATAAAAACCGATGCACTATTCTATGTATCTTAGTGTAGTCTACTTGTGTGCAAAGTGATTTTGAAAAAAAAACCAAAACTGTAAAAGGAGAAGCGTTTCAAAAGAATTTCACAGAAAATTTTATTTTTAGTAACAATGGCAACATCGTTCATCGAAATTAAAAAATGATGCACTATTCTATGTATCTTAGCATAGTCTACTTGTGTGCCAAGTTATATTGAAATCAGACAAAAACTGTAGAAGGAGTAGCATTTTAAAGAAATTTCATAGAAAATTCTATTTTTAGTAACCATGGCAACACCGTTTATCGAAATTAAAAACCGATGCACTATTCTATGTATCTTTGTGTAGTCTACTTGTGTGCCAAGTTATATTAAAATCAGACCAAAACTGTAGGAGGAGTAGCGTTTTGAAGGAATTTCACAGAAAATTTTATTTTTAGTAACCATGGCAACACCGTTTATCGAAATTAAAAACCGATGCACTATTCTATGTATCTTAGTGTAGTGTAGGACGAGTAGCGTTTTGAAAAATTGTTTACAGACAGACGGACAGACAGACAGACGGACGTACGCCGGACGAATTACTATCGCATAAGCTCTTCTGGTCTCTGACCAGTAGAGCTAAAAATCAACGAAAAAGCGTCAAAAATGGATACAAGTCGTACAGTTTTTTTTGTATACAAATGCGTGTTGTACAGTTATGATATTGATATACAATTGAACTTGATATATGACTGTTCTCGTCTTTTTTTCAGCAAACACAGATTTCGCAACCAAAGGATCTCCCGCCCCCACAACGGGTCCAACGACAGATAAAGCTATAGATGTCAGCACAGGGTATTACAGCTCCACAGCGGGTCCAACGACAGATATAGCTATAGATGTCAGCACAGGGTATTACAGCTCCACAGCGGGTCCAACGACAGATATAGCTATAGATGTCAGCACAGGGTATTACAGCTCCACAGCGAGTCCAACGACAGATATAGCTATAGATGTCAGCACAGGGTATTACAGCTCCACAGCGGGTCCAACGACAGATATAGCTATAGATGTCAGCACAGGGTATTACAGCTCCACAGCGAGTCCAACGACAGATATAGCTATAGATGTCAGCACAGGGTATTACAGCTCCACAGCGGGTCCAACGACAGATAAAGCTATAGATGTCAGCACAGGGTATTACAGCTCCACAGCGAGTCCAACGACAGATATAGCTATAGATGTCAGCACAGGGTATTACAGCTCCACAGCGAGTCCAACGACAGATATAGCTATAGATGTCAGCACAGGGTATTACAGCTCCACAGAGGGTCCAACGACAGATATAGCTATAGATGTCAGCACAGGGTATTACAGCTCCACAGCGAGTCCAACGACAGATATAGCTATAGATGTCAGCACAGGGTATTACAGCTCCACAGCGAGTCCAACGACAGATATAGCTATAGATGTCAGCACAGGGTATTACAGCTCCACAGCGGGTCCAACGACAGATATAGCTATAGATGTCAGCACAGGGTATTACAGCTCCACAGCGAGTCCAACGACAGATATAGCTATAGATGTCAGCACAGGGTATTACAGCTCCACAGCGGGTCCAACGACAGATATAGCTATAGATGTCAGCACAGGGTATTACAGCTCCACAGCGGGTCCAACGACAGATATAGCTATAGATGTCAGCACAGGGTATTAAAGCTCCACAGCGAGTCCAACGACAGATATAGCTATAGATGTCAGCACAGGGTATTACAGCTCCACAGCGGGTCCAACGACAGATATAGCTATAGATGTCAGCACAGGGTATTACAGCTCCACAGCGGGTCCAACGACAGATAAAGCTATAGATGTCAGCACAGGGTATTACAGCTCCACAGCGGGTCCAACGACAGATATAGCTATAGATGTCAGCACAGGGTATTACAGCTCCACAGCGGGTCCAACGACAGATATAGCTATAGATGTCAGCACAGGGTATTAAAGCTCCACAGCGAGTCCAACGACAGATATAGCTATAGATGTCAGCACAGGGTATTACAGCTCCACAGCGGGTCCAACGACAGATATAGCTATAGATGTCAGCACAGGGTATTACAGCTCCACAGCGGGTCCAACGACAGATAAAGCTATAGATGTCAGCACAGGGTATTACAGCTCCACAGCGGGTCCAACGACAGATATAGCTATAGATGTCAGCACAGGGTATTACAGCTCCACAGCGGGTCCAACGACAGATATAGCTATAGATGTCAGCACAGGGTATTACAGCTCCACAGCGGGTCCAACGACAGATATAGCTATAGATGTCAGCACAGGGTATTACAGCTCCACAGCGGGTCCAACGACAGATATAGCTATAGATGTCAGCACAGGGTATTACAGCTCCACAGCGGGTCCAACGACAGATATAGCTATAGATGTCAGCACAGGATTACAGCTCCACAGCGGGTCCAACGACAGATAAAGCTATAGATGTCAGCACAGGGTATTACAGCTCCACAGCGAGTCCAACGACAGATATAGCTATAGATGTCAGCACAGGGTATTACAGCTCCACAGCGGGTCCAACGACAGATATAGCTATAGATGTCAGCACAGGGTATTACAGCTCCACAGCGAGTCCAACGACAGATATAGCTATAGATGTCAGCACAGGGTATTACAGCTCCACAGCGGGTCCAACGACAGATATAGCTATAGATGTCAGCACAGGGTATTACAGCTCGAAAGAGGATCCAACGACTTATATTGCCGGAGATGTCAGCACAGTCACAAAGGTCCCCGATGGTGAGAAATAATTAACCAAAAGTCTCTGTCGAGACTGTAGTTCTACTGGTTTGTACTTATTAAAAACCATTTCACTATTTTATGTATCTTTGTGTAGTCTACTTGTGTGACAACTTATTTCGAAATCAAACTAAAAGTGTAGAAGGAGTAGCGTTTTAAAGGAATTTCACAGATAATTATATTTTTAGTAACCATGGTAACACCGTTCATTGAAATCAAAAACCGATGCACTATTCTATGTATCTTAGCATAGTCTACTTGTGTGCCAAGTTATATTGAAATCAGACCAAAATTGAGGAAGAAGTAGCATTTTTAAAGGAATTTCACAGAAAATTCTATTTTAGTAACCATGGCAACACCGTTCATTGAAATCAAAAACTGATGCACTTTTCTATGTATCTTAGTGCAGTCTACTTGTGTGCCAAGTTATCCTGAAATCAGACCAAAAATGTAGAAGGAGTAGCGTTTTAAAGGAATTTCACAGAAAATTCTATTTTTAGTAACCATGGCAAGACCATTCATTGAAATCAAAAACCGATGCACTATTCTATGTATCCTAGTGTAGTCTACTTCTGTGCCAAGTTATATTGAAATCAGACCAAAACTGCAGAAGGAGTAGCATTTTGAAGGAATTTCATAGAAAATTCTATTTTAATAACCATTGCAACACCATTCATCGAAATCAAAAACCGATGCAATATTCTATGTATCTTAGTGTAGTCTACTTGTGTGCCGAGTTATATTGAAATCAGACCAAAACTGTAGAAGGAGTAGCATTTTGAAAAATTGTTTACAGACAGACGGACAGACAGACAGACAGACGGACGGACGCCGGACGCATTACTATCGCATAAGCTCTTCTGGTCTCTGACCAGTAGAGCTAAAAACGTACATTGTTGTTTTAGCTCTACTGGTCAGAGACCAGAAGAGCTTATGCGACAGTAATGCGTCCGCAATGCTACTCCTCCTACAGTTTTGGTCTAATTTCTGGTCTCTGACCAGTAGAGCTAAGATGCTAATTACGCTGTGCCAAGAATGCCACACCTTACTGAAATTAAAAGCTTACCTGAAAACTGTTCTAACCCAAAATCCTAGAGTACACACTTCCCATTATTAAAAAAAAGATAAATAGTGACAAGATTTCCAAATGCAACTTTTAATAGATAATAGTGGGGAATAGGTTATATATCTTTAATATTCAAACTTGAATCATATTATATCCGTTTTTAATTTGGAATAATTCCTTTTCAGTGGCTGCGCTGTGCAAAGTGATTTTGAAATAAAACCAAAACTGTAAAAGGATAAGCGTTTCAAAAGAATTTCACAGAAAATTTTATTTTTAGTAACAATGGCAACATCGTTCATTGAAATTAAAAAATGATGCACTATTCTATGTATCTTAGCATAGTCTACTTGTGTGCCAAGTTATATTGAAATCAGACAAAAACTGTAGAAGGAGTAGCATTTTAAAGAAATTTCATAGAAAATTCTATTTTTACACAGGCAAAAGTGGCTCGCATGAACTTCATATGAAATTCGCATGAATATCGTGCGAATTCTTCGCATGAAAAGGAGACGAAAAGGACCACACATGATATTCGCATGAAAATATCATGCGATTTTGACATGAAATTCGCACGAATATCATGCGAATAAAAATTCGCACGAAATTCATATGAATATTTTTGCTGCTTTCTTTACAGATTTTCATATGAATTTCATGCGAATTTCATGTAAATATCATGATATATTCATATCAAATCCATGTGATGTAATTTATATATTTTTCCTAGTATATTGGACTTTCAATTCTTTTAATCCATTTGATGAAAAGTATTAGGAAATTCTAATACTTAGATCTGTATATGAATTTGTACAACTAATCATCAACGTTTCACTGTTACTGTATTCAAAAAAATGCAATAAGTACAATCTCAAAATCTGATCCAGCAAATGACTTAATGAGCTTTATCTAAATCTTAATTTGAAACTGCTTAATTTTAACACATGCAGATTTTGAGGAAGCACCACTATGATTATCCAAGTTATTCTTTTGATGAACAAACAACTGGACACATTCTGTTTCTTAATCTTCTTTATTGAATGCTTCAATTCTTTTTAACATTCTCTGCTCAAGGGCCACCCATCTGTCTGGAGATTGTTTCATCTGCAAGAGAAAACAAGAGGCCCATGGGCCACATCGCTCACCTGAGAAGCTTTGACCATTCTGTTCTTTACCAGATTTCCCCCTTGTAATACAATATGTATCCCCACACTACCACACTGATCATAATTAAGACATTTTGAAATCAACTACCCCAGGATCCTTCCATGTGCAAATAAGTTTCAGCTTTTCTGGCCCAGTGGTTCTTGAGAAGAAGATTTTCAAAGATTTTTCCTATATATTTTTATGTAAAACTTTCATCCCCCCATTGTGGCTCCACCCTTCCCCTGGGGGTCATGATTTGAACAATTCAAAATCTACATTACCCAAGAATGCTTCCACATAAGTTTCAACTTTTCTGGCCTATTGGTTCTTGAGAAGAAGATTTTCAAAGATTTTTCCTATATATTTCTATGTAAAAATTTGATTCCCCATTGTGGCCCCGCCCTTCCCCTGGGGGTCATGATTTTAACAATTTAATATCTACACTACCCAAGGATGCTTCCATATAAGTTTCAGCTTTCCTGGCCCGGTAGTTCTTGAGAAGAAGATTTTCAAAGATTTTTCCTATATATTTCTATGTAAAACTTTGATTCCCCATTGTGGCCCCGCTCTTTCCCCGGGGGTCATGATTTGAACAATTTAGAATCTACACTACCTAATAATGCTTCCACATAAGTTTCAACTTTTCTGGCCCAGTGGTTCTTGAGAAGAAGATTTTCAAAGATTTTTCCTATATATTTCTATGTAAAACTTTGATACCCCATTGTGGCCCCACCCTTCCCCCGGGGGTCATGATTTTTACAATTTAGAATCTACACTATCCCAGGATGCTTCCACATAAGTTCCAGCTTTTCTGGCCCAGTAGTTCTTGATAAGAAGATTTTCAAAGATTTTTCCTATATATTTCTATGTAAAAATTTGATTCCCCATTGTGGCCCCGCCCTTCCCCCGGGGGTCATGATTTTAACAGTTTAATATCTACACTACCCTTGGATGCTTTCACATAAGTTTCAGCTTTTCTGGCTCAGTAGTTCTTGAGAAGAAGATTTTCAAAGATTTTTCCTATATATTTCTATGTAAAACTTTGATTCCCCATTGTGGCCCCGCCCTTCCCCCGGGGGTCATGATTTTTACAATTTAAAATCAACACTACCTTAGGATGCTTCCATAAAAGTTTTAGCTTTTCAGACCCATTATGGTTCTTGAGAAGACTTTTTAATGGCCCCACCCTTTTTTTGTCTTTTCTTGATTATCTCCCCTTGCGAGGGGACATGTCCCTTCATTTTAACAATTTAAATTTCCCTTCACCCAAGGATGCTTTGTACCAAGTTTGGTCAAAATTGGCCCAGTGGTTCTTGAGAAGAAGTCGAAAATGTGAAAAGTTTACAGACGGACAGACAGACAGACAGACGGACGGACGACGGACAAAATGTGATCAGAAAAGCTCACTTGAGCCTTCGGCTCAGGTGAGCTAATAATTGTAATGAATACTGGGTACTGGTAAATGAAATACAGTCATGAATTTTACAACTGCATTTCCAAAGTCAATATTTCCCTACTTAAAAAGATAACATAAAATATGAACAAATGTAGATATAGCAATCTCATATCACCCCTAAGTTCAATTTGGTAAAAGGTTGAATTTATATTGCCTACATTGTAAATGATCTTTAAAAAATTAAAAAACATACATCATAAATTATAATGATTTCAAAATCATACATCATAAATCATAATTAAAAGCATAATTATAATGTTTCTTAAGTATAAAATTATTGACAAAAAATGAAAACAATTTGCCTGCAAATGACTTTAAACTTAAAAACAATCTTGTGTCAGGTATCAATTAAACCTTGAGATAATTTTCTCTGTTTCATTGACCTATATCTGATGATGCAATTTGTATCTGTTGCAAGGGAATTTAAAAGCAAAATTTACCTACCATTGCATCTATGTTCCTTCTGAACACATGCCAGAAATCTGTGGCTGTGGTAGCTGGATTTTTTCCTGAACAATTTGAGTCCATCAGCGAAAGATCTCTGTAAAGCAAAGAACAGAAATAAATCTAAAAATATTATTAAGACTAGTCATGAATTTTATATCTTCAAAGTTCAACTTTTTAAAGGAATATGTTTGAATCTGTTTTACTATTTAAACCGTCATGGAAATATTATGCACTAATTTTGCCTCTGTTATCAAAGATTGTTGGGTTTATATTGTTTTTGTACTGTTATGTCCATCTTTCTGTCTTAATATTTAACCTTTAAACACATTACTTATGAGTGGGTGGGGCTATGGCTTCATATTCAACAGGTGTATTTCATGTAACAAGAACTTTATCGGGGTACTATAAAATTTGACCTCTTGACCTTGATATTAGGGTTTGATCAACTTTTACAAAAAATATCCCTAAACTTTAACCTAGGCTTATAATTTTGAACAGTTAGTGCTATCAATCTGATACTTCACATTATTTTGTAATCATTGTGACAAGACCATTCAATAAGTTTTTTTTACCTTAAAATTGGTCTTGACCTAAGAGTTTGACCCACTTTCAAAAAATATAATCTAGGCCACAACTTTTTAACAGTTAATACTAAAATTCTCATATTTCACAGGTTAAATTATTCCTTATGACAAAACCTTCCTTCAGATGCTAACAATTTGACCTTTTGACCTTGACCTTTAAGTTTGCCTTGCATTTCAGTCCTCGCTTTAAGATGTCATATAGGCATATATAAAGGCGTAAACATAGGATAAAATAATATATGTATGCATAAGTTTATTTGCTGAGTACCTAGGAGCAGAAAAAGATGACTGTCAAAGAATTACTGCATTTTTTATATGTCTTCTATAACATCAAAACCTATTATTGGGTACCCAGGGGCAAAGTAATGTACAATTTTGGAAATGGAACTCTTTAATACTCCTTATAAGTATATACTTTAAATGTACTTAGTTTGTTTGCATTCTATCAAGAAGCACTTTTACCATGCAAAATTTGGTTGATAATGGTTCAGTCAGTAATGGATAATTTGTAACTGATGGGACACACAACAACTGATGAAAAGAGAAGCAATAGGTCTAAAAACAAATAACAATAAATTGACACTTGCATCCCTCAAGTGTCCATATTAATGAAATTAAATTTCAATCCTTACCAATGCATAAGAGTCACCTTGAAGTTGGTCTTCTGAATCGGTCATTCGGATGGTGATAACCAGAAATTGCCGAGAAGTCAGGTATACCCCTGCAGTCGAGCCTTTATTGGCATTTACTCCACATTCTTCTCTTGTGTCACTAGCTGAAATGTATCATATTATTGAGAATCTCACAAATTTAAGAATTTTTTATAAGCTGGTATTTTTACAATTGTACTTTTTTTTTATAAAATGCATTTAAATTTTCGATCAACAATGCATGAAATCAAAATGAAAAATTTTACGACAAATTTTGACCAAAAACAGGATATGTTTGTGAAACACTGATGCCCCCGTATGACAACATAGCAAAGATTAAACTTTTCTTAAATGCAAATTTAATTAATAGGTACCAAAAGTAGGATATTCTCACTGGCAAGCAATTGTGAAATTTGAAAGCAGGCCATTATTAAAGTTTTTTTTCAATAAGTACAAAAATCTCCAAGGTCAAGTCCTAAAGGCTAAGTTACTAATTGGTATCCAATGAAAGGTCTTGCCACATAGAATTACTTATGTAGAGTATGGAAGCCCTAGCCCTAACCTTTCAGAAGTTATGGCCAAGGTTAATTTTCTTTTAAAAGTAGGTCAAACTCCATGGTCAAGGTCAAAGGGTCAAAGTTCTTGTTATCAAATAAAAGGTCTTGTCACAAGAATTAAATATGTAAAATATGAAAGCACTAGCCCTAACCCTTTGAAAGTTATGGTCAAGGCTTGTTTTTTAAAGTAGGTCAAACTCAAAGGTCAAGGTCAAAGGGTCAAAGTGCTTGGTATCCAATGAAGGGTCTTCTCACAAGGATTACATATGTGAAGTATGAAAACCGTATCCCTTACCGTTCAAAAGTTATGGCCAAGGTTCAAGTTTTGCACAGGTACAGAAATCTACAAGGTCAAGGTCAAAGGGTCAAGGTTGTTGGTAACCAGTGAAAGGTCTTTCAATAAAAAATACACTTGTGAAGTATAAATGTCCTGGTGTCTACTGTTCAAAAGATATGGCCAAAGTAAAAGTGTAAAATTATCATGTAAAAGTGAGTCAAACTCCAAGGTCAAGAGGTCAAATTTGGTAGTACCCAAAGAAAGGTCTTGTCACAAGGAATACACATGTGAAATATGAAAGTCATGGCTCCAATAAATCAAAAGTTATGGGCAAGGTTAAAGTTTTTGAGGACAAACAGACAGACAGAGAGACAGCAGACAGACGGACACGACAAAAACTATAAACTGTACCCCAACACTTTGTTTACGGGGGCATAAAAAGGGCTAACTTAAGCTTCTGGCTTAGGTGAGAAAAATTCATTGAAATATTCCCAGCTTAGTCATAATTGGTCACGAGATTAAATTCCATAAAGCCCGAAGGGTTTCTATGTAAAACTTTGATTGGCCATTGTGGACCCGCCCTTCCCCTGGGGGTCATGATTTGAATAAACTTGAATCTACACTACCTGAGGATGCTTCTCTGTAAGATTAATCTTTCCTGGCACAGTGGTTCTTGAGAAGAAGATTTTTAAATCATACCATCAAATTTTCATTATTTCTGAATTATCTCCCCTTTGATATGGCATGGCCCTTCATTTGAACTAACTTGAATCCCCTTCACCTAAAGATACTTTGTGCCAAGTGTGGTTGAATTTGGCCCACTGGTTCTTGAGAAGAAGTCGAAAATGTGAAAAGTTAATGACAACAACAACGACGACAGACAGACAATGGACAAACTTTGATCAGAAAAGCTCACTTGAGCCTTCGGCTCAGGTGAGCTAACAAAAAATATTATAAAATACTTACATGTACTTTTGACAAATTGGGAAAATTTAGGAGTTAGGACTACTCTGGTACTTGAAATCTGATCCTTGTGATAACAAGTAACTGTGCCTATACAGAGAAACTAAAAAATGTCAGGTACTCACTACTGTAGGTTCAATAACATTTAGTTCATTATCTCTTTTTCACTTTATTTAAATTAAAAACATGTATTCTATAAATTAACGAAGATTATATACATGTATTTACATTAAAGAAATGCAAGATAAGCAAATATAAGCTGAATGGTTAAGGTTTTGCTACATATATACATGTAATAACAAAATTGTTATACACGTAATAACAAAATTGTTATTGATTGTTATACACGTAATAACAAACAATGTATACCAAAGGCTCTGCAAAAAATATTTCTCTCTTAGATTTTTTTTCTTACCTGCTTACATGTATCATATTTATAATCTTTGAGAAGCTCCCAAGTGAAATTTTTTTCAAACAAATAACTCACAAATTGCCTACAAATTACTTTAAAATCACTTATAAGTGATTTGTTTCAGTGATTTGTAAGCAATTCATTTAACAAATCATGCTTAAATCACTTTCTACTAAAATGATGACTATGATTTGCTTACAATTTGTTATAAAAGGGTGATTTGCTTGTGATTTCTTTCCCATTTCAGACAATTTCTGAGTGATTTGTTAAACTTAGGAAATTGTTACAGTGATTTCTTCATGATTTGTTGAACTTAGCCATTCTTCAAGGTGATTTGAACATGATTTCTGGAACTTAGTCTTTCTTCAGAGTGATTTGAAGATGATTTGTTAACTTAGTCTTTCTTCAAAGTGATTTGTAAATGATTTGTTGATCTCATGGCCCTTCTTCAGAGTGATTTGAGAATGATATACTTCGTAACTTCCGCCTGGCTTGCTGATTGGTCAGTATTAGAATCTCTACCGCCAAGTTTCATTAATCAGATTTGAATTGAAATGAAAAGAGCTACATTGTGCTTTTCTAGATTCATACCTCTCTTCTTTTGTTGAAACTGATGTTTTTTCAATTAAATCATGCAGAATATATTTTAAGGTATGTATAACTGTATTATGCTATCATTTCCTCTTGAGATTCAGTTAATATACCCTATGTTCACATGCAATTTATTGTTCTTCTACCAACAACAAAGTCGGTGGCAATCAATGTTTTAAACAAAATCTAGTATGGTAAGCTTTAAGCTTCAGAAAAGTACTGGCTTTTTCAAAGCGTCTAGACAAATATGTATTTCAGATAAGAAAACATTTACCATGCAATTAACTTCTAAAAGTCAACAATTAATGCTTATATCATATTCTGAATTTGGAGCCAAGTACATGTGTATATATCTAAAATACATGATGCCATCTTAATGAGGACACATCCTAGTAAAAGTTTATATTTCAAAATACACTTTCCAAAAGTTTTTTGTTCATATACAACAAATACCGGTATGCATGCATGTGTGTTTCAAATATTTGAGGGATGGTTACATGAGGATCCTACACACAAGTGTGTAACCACCTGGAGTGATTTGAAAGTGATTTGTTAAACTGAAGTGATTTGTTTGCGATTTATTTGAAATGATTTGTTTGCAATTTATTTCGAGTGATTTGGTTGCGATTTGTTCAACAGAAGTGATTTCTACACGATTTACTCTCAGTGATTTCGTTGTGATTTCAGGGTGATTTGCTTACAATTTGTTTTGAGTGATTTGTTAGCTCATTTGCATGGGAATTTGCATCACTTACAAATCATCTTCAAATCACTGATTCATAAATGATTTCTTAGAGTGATTTGTTTGAGGATTTTTTTTCACTTGGGCTATCAGTGTGGTAAAATGAAGTGCCGTGCATAGATCTGCTTATAACCAGCAAATTATACCTGTGAGTATAGAATACAACATTTAATAAATATTTTCGAATTAATAAATATTTTGTAAATATATGTACAGTACGACTCATTTTAGGGAAGTGACTAGGACTTTCTGTCTTGCATGCCAGATGTAAGTAAGCCTCTTTATATCTGCATACATTTTGGAATGCACATGCACAGGTACTTGTGGACAGGACAGTGGGGTATTTTTTTTGTTGTTGAGGGGTGGAAGGATTTTTTCAAAGGGGGGGGGGTATTATAATGTACATTTTACACCTGCATGTAGTTAAATAACTCAATAAGATACTGGGTGGGGTATGGTTTTTAAAGGAGGAGGTTGATATAAAACTAGGAAAAAAATATTTGTATGGATTACCTGAAAAGTTTTTGAAAAAGAAAGGAAAATATTGATCTCAGAACCTGAGAATCCTATCCTACAACATTAGCTTTTCACTGAATATTTTCTATGGTAAAAACACAAACAAACAAAAATTTGGAACTTAATTCTTCTTATAATTCCCTCTTTTTTTTTTTTTTTTTTTTTTTTTTTTTTTTGCAAATCCAAAAGGGAGGGTTGCAATTTACCACCGTAATTAGAATTAACTTAAGCCCTCACCGGGTACGTAGGACATTAATTTTTATCATTTTAACGATAGAACATCAACATTCTATCTACACCCCCCCCCAAATGCTACGTGTGTTATTTGATTGCTGCAGTTTAATTTTATATACTAGATCCCAATGCAATAGGAATTAAAAACACATTAAAACATTAGGCCTATCAATAGGCCAATAATATTGTAAGAAAAGCAGAGAACCTGTACTAGGCCCATCTTTCATTTTCAACACATAACGTTATGCGTTACCATAGATAATGTTAGATCCACTTGAATCTCATATCTGTTATTAAGCTGTCAACAAATATTCCCAAATAAAGTTATTACATCCGTCTGATATAAAAAGAAGATGAGAATCTTACAAACTTACAGAAAATATGGAGTTGAAAACATTCTGCTCTTTCTTTCTTTCTGCCTTCTAAGTCGCATGATGACGTAATTTGTGACGTACGGCATTCCATAAAAGAACTAGCTTTGGTTCCATAAAGTAAATTTATATCACTTAGTCATCTGCGTTCGTCTTTGAAGTGGAGATGCATTTTTAAGATAAAAATTTGAACGACTAATATTACAAAGATTAAAGATGCATACGTACCGCCTTAGCATATTTCATAGTGTTTAATTTACTGTGATAAATTAGCCTGTAATTATCTAATAAGATCATATAACAAATATATTTTATTGTTTCAAGCCAGAAACGACGTCAAGATCTCCCTAAAAAAAACTACCAGTTAATTCTCGCCAATCTTCGGAAAGTAAAATTTGCATATGCTCGTAATGCGCGCGCATCGTTTCACGTCACCGCAGCGGAAGGAAAATGTCGTCGGTAAGTTGTTACAACATTTTAGCAATATTTTTCTTATATTGTGAGTTACTTATGTGGTTTCGTTTCATGGTTATGAACTTAAAGCCTTTTAATAGGTTGATATATAGATAGAATATACAATTGGCAACGGGACATCCATTTGTTATCTCTGGCGTGCACGTGGAACTTGCACGCTTCTATGTTTTCATTTTTTGTCAGTGACATTTTAGCGCGAAAATGTTTTTGTCGTGCATGCACATAATTTGAGATCTCTTGGAAAAGATCAGTTTATTTCAAAACATTCATATTACAAATAAATACCTCAACCCAGCTTTTGTGCATCATTCAACGGGTGGTCGCTTCTTTTGTTCACTTACGTAAGACCTTTCCACCATGTCTCCACCCTAGCTTTGTGTATAAAGCATTTTGCCCCTGGATCGAAAGATCCTTTGGGCGCATTGATTTTGTCCCGTCTATTGTCAACTTAAATTAACATAGCTCATAAGTGTTGCACGGTCAAAAGTAAGTGTATAACATTTCAGTCTATTTCCCACTGCAGAATATTGTGTTACCGTCGGGGGTTGATGTATTTATTTCACAAACACATCTTTTTTTTTTTTTTTTTTTTAAAGAATGGTGTACCAAATTTGTTTTTCTTGAATTACTTACAGGAGAGTTCAATTACAAGCAGAGCAGAAGAGAGTAGTGATGATGAGAATGTGAGAGTGAGAACCGAAGAGACAGGAAGAGGTCGAGGCAGAGGAAGAAGGAGGGGTGTTCGGGGAGGAGTCAGAGGTGTGAGAGGAACCCGGGGTTCAGGCAGAGGTAGAGGCAGGTCAAGAGGAAGTCGGACACAAGGGCCAACACGTGATGTCCTTGCATTGGAGGAAGTGAATAGGAGAACAGATGTTTTACAAGTAAATATCAAATTTTTTAAATAAAATTTCAGCCAGTTATGTCATGTCAATATTGGAATCTTAGTCTTCATGTGTTCATTATGGTAAATTAGCTATTAAACTTCTTAAATCAGCTTTAAATTATTAACAATTTTTACATTGGCAGTTGCTACTAATTTTCAGTTCTATGATTTGATTTTTGAATTTTCTGCCAAATTTTTAAACAAAATTTTTATTTCAGGAAGAGATTTCCCAAATGGAATCCGAGGAATTAAAACAACTTTGTCTGAAGATGGCTGAAAAGCATCCCAGCCTGGTGCACGATATCCTCAGACCAGCGCCACAACAAGGAGGATACCATCCTCAGCCTGGAGGTGCTTCTCCTGACTGGTGTGTTTGTGGGAAGTGCCGGGAAATGCCCACAAACACTGAAAAAGTGTGCTGCAGGAAGGAGAGATGCGTTACACTTTTGCCAGTAAGTTTTGCACTTTTTTTCTTTTACAGACCATTAATTAAGATTTAAAGAAAAAAATCTGTTACTAATGGATTAATGTTTTATAGTTCAAATTCAATGATAATAAACAATTAATTTATACTTCATACTTCTTTTCCATTTTTCATATGAAAACCACACTGCAATGTTTATCGATTTTCAGGAAATATATAATTTTCATGACTCATTCAATAATTTCTTCTTTTTTAAGGACTTTGCTGTACTTATTCTTGATGAGGCTGTTTTGGCACTCGGGAGGATTTATAGAAGAGACGTGTTGGTTTTTGATGACGATGCGGACTGGAACAAAGCCAACAGACATCAAGGATATAGGCAGTATGTCTTGTGGACGCATGGACGGTTAGGGGCTGGAGACAGGAGAGTCATACCTTCCTGCTGTGTGTGGCAGATAAGGGACAAATATCCTGATCCCTTTGGCCAGTATACAGGATTTGTCCCTGGCCGATTAGGCTAATTATGTAAATTTGTTGTGGCTTTAAATTTTCAATCAGTGTATTCAAGCAGTATGTACATACATGTATATAATTACCATGCCCCGAGAAGATAAACTGTGTGGCTGTGTGATATCGATGAAAAAAAATTATTATTACACTGTTTTCATTTCATTTGTACATGTATAATAAAGTTTCCATGTAAAATAAAGAGTTTGTAAATGGGTGATTTATTATATGAGTGGGCGGAGGTAGGGTCAAGACAAGGGGTCAAACAATTCAGTAAATTTCAAAGTTTATAATTTTTAGACAGTAAACACTGAGGCCATTCCAAGTTATTTTTCCTTTGAACAGCATACACCCTTAATAGGAAAACTTTCACACATTTTTAGAACAAATATAGAATTTCCCATTATCATTTGAGAATTCTTCTATCGAGGATTTGTCTGCTGATGTCCCACAAAAAAACCCCCAAAAAACAAAACAAAAATGAGAAAACAAAAAAACTAGGAATATTGCCCAATACATAATGTATACTGGATAACAGGAGAGCCTATGAAAAGTTTGGTTAACAACTGTACAGTACTACAAAGACTCTGGGAAAGATTTTATCCTTTTTAATCCCACATGGAAATTTGAATCAATTTCTGAAGAATTGGTAAATAAAAATATTGGTGAATAAATAGCTGGATGACTTTTGTTGACTGAATGGTTATGATTCATGTCAGTTTTTGTTCCTAGGCAGCACAAGAAACTAATATCATTGAATATGATGGGACAGGCAAATTTTAAGCTCATTTCTTATAAAACTTCACATACAGTAATGATGTACTTTAAAACTCATAAAAACACACTGAAATTAGGTAGGAAAGCAAAAGTATTTATTATATACTTTCATTTAATTTTTTGGAAGTGAAATCATCACATCTGCTTATACCACTCATTACATGTAATTCTTGACAACTTTCTAAACTCTTTTGAACAATTAATCAGCTCAAATTTGGTCAGGCCAATTATTATTTACAAAGTGAATTCCAAAACAAAAATGTTTGGACATTTTGGCACAATTTAACTGACAAGATTCAGTCTGCTAACATCAATCATTACATGTACTTCTTGACAACTATCTATTAGTAAACACATGTACATAAGTCTTTGAACATTTAATCAGTTTGAATTTGGTTAGGCCAATTATTATTTACAATTTGAATTCCAAAATAAAAATGTTTAGTAATACATGTATTGGCACAATTTAACTGACAAGATTCAGTCTGACATAGACAATCAAACAAGAAAATATGATACACAGCTGTTAATTTTAAGCAGCAAAAGTCATTGCTCATATCAAGAGCAAGTCAATCTGCAAATCTTGACTTCTGCTGACTGACAAGTTCCGCAGTCGGGGGTGGTTCCTCGGCAGCCAAATGCTTTGCAATGACACGTGGGTCATCAGGAGCCAATGCAGTCATCTTCATTCCTACTCTGTCATGGATCCGCATGATCAGGGCATTTGAGAGCAGGGAGTGAATGTAATCATACTGCTTCCTTGTCTTGACTGCATGGACCGTCCATCTTCCACTTTTCTTATTGAACACTCTGTGATACCTAGACAAAAAAAGTCATTTGATGTTTGTGAGTATGTTTGAAATGTTTCATGTGTACGTTTCTCTAAAGATACAGATTTCATAAGACTTGAAACTTTGAGTGATGTGATATTGGCATTAGAAATCTGTTTTCTAAGAAGAGAAATTTTCAAAGGGAAGTACAGAATACATTATTGATGGCAAACTATGTTCAATTCCCACTACATGTCATTTTAAATAAAAACAGTTTTATACTCTTGATTTCTGCTCTTGTTGCATATAACTATTTTTCTGATTTTCTGATAAATGGTAGAAAAATAATGATAAAGGTAAAACACCTTATTTTCCCATCTTTGTTCTTCTGTACTGGCCTGTCCACATTCATGTTATGGTCCAGAGCTGCAAGTCTGTTTCTGGCCCTATAAACTGGTGGTGTATAAGCGAAGCGCTTTGAACAGTACATAAGAATATGCTGGTGGAATCCTTCCAAATCAGCTGTACTCCTGAAAATCATGTATGGAGTACAAACATTATCTCAGTTCTGATATTAAATCATCTAAATATCAAGTGAAAAACAATTTAAAAAAACAATCCTTTACATACAGACATACTTTACCTAAAATTCAAAAAGTACCCCACGTTATTTAGGAGTCTTTTGTCAAGCACAACAGCTGCTAAATCCTTCAGGACATTAGCATGCTGTGTAGGTGAGAGCCAGGCTTTTGTCCTTTCTTCTTCTGTTAGCTCTCCATGCATGCACTGGATCACACCTCCATGGGAAAAAATCCACTCGTGTGTGTTAGTAATGTGGTGTAACACACTTCGCCAAATACCCTATTAATTAAGAATTTGGCATAAACATCCTTTGCAATTTTACTCTCTCAGACCAATGGTACTATTCATAAAAGCAATTTAACAATGAAATGATCAAAACAATTCTTTTCCAAAAGGAAACTAGAAATGAATAACTCACTACAAATTCCTCATATGTCTTAGCTTGGCGGCATGAGAACCAAAAGTGGTTAACGATGTCCTTTGACCAGTCCAACAAGATGTTGTTCCCTTTCTTCTGTGCCACCTGAAGTATAAATATAAAGAATTTAATATTTGTGTATATCACGGATGTACAAATCATTTATATTATAAACTGTAACAAAAGCTTCCATATCTCTCTCCCAGGAAAAATCACTTACTTTCAAAATCTTGTTTCCGAGATTTTTTGCTGCATGCCATATGTCATGCGAGTGGTGTATATCTGAGTACTGTTTCTCTGCAAAATGAGTTATATCAGTAAAAAGCAATTTCCAGGAATTTGTAATCAGTTAATAGATATTATTATTATTGAAATAATAATAGTGCAGAAGATTTATTAAAAAAGAAATACTTTGTTTGCAACTTACTCATAATTGAACCAATTCCCAAATGTGCATCCGTCACAACTTCTTTCACTTGAATGTTTTCTTCCAAAAGTTCATTCAGTGCAGCTTCGAATCCTGCCTTCTCCATATTTGGGGATTTCCTGTCTGTCATCCTCTTGTCTATTGTGTGAATGGTCAGAATCTTTTTTGTTTCATTGTCCATTAAGGTGTACGAACAGTACTGCGCACTGTGCCCCGGAGAATCATTTCGACCATCTCCTGTCAACAAAAAAGTATATTCATTTGAAATAAATGTGTCATTTTTCTGAGTTGCTTATAATCTAAAACAATCATTGCATGTTTGTAAAAACAAAACCAAAATTTACATAATAGTACTACCCTACCTAAAACAACAACATCTTTGTCTCTAAACTCATCTAGCAGCTCTCTCTTGTGGTCACTCCAATAGCTGTCAATGGCAGGAATAATGTATGTGCTGCAAATCCTGTGGAACTGGTCGGCAGAAGGAAATTTCAAAGATAACATTTCAGCCCACAAAGCCATCTTCCCATAATTATTGCCAGAAGACAGGATACTGCCACAGATCAAGAAATCTCCACTGTGTAGCCTCCTGTTGAGCTGTGGCTGGGAGCACCATTGATGGCTTACATGGTTTTCATCACATACCTATAAATTGATAAAATGAACAAGCAATTTTACAAATTTGTACATTTAACTGTCACTGTTAAAATCAAGAGAGACAGTTATTTCAAGCATGTAATTACCCATTTTAAATACAGGGCTGAGCCAACAAATGATTCTACGATTTTTGTAGGCTTCTTGCAGGTCACGTCCTTGCATTGTGGCACGTTTATCTTTGTTAGCTCTTTGATCTGATTTAGGAATGCAATGCATTTTGTGGCTGTTGGTAACTCTTTGCAGGCTTCATCGTCTGAAACTTTCTGTATTCCAGGCTGGACTTCCATCTCTATGTCTGGACCCTCTAGAAAACCATCATTTCCAGGCACCTCAAAACCATACTCCACCTCCTCAAATGCAACATCTTCTGCCATTGTGTTCACATCATCTGGCCTAATAATTAACATATTCAAAAAATGAAATCATCAACAAAAACTAATATTTCTTTTAATTTTGAAACACTTTTAATGCTTTCCTTATAATGATGTTTGACAAAGGAATATATTTGTAAAATTTATTAATTATCCTGATTCAGTATAATTTTATGAAGAGCCTAATTAAACATAAGTGCTCACAATATTGCAGTGATGTCAAAACTTGGTTGATAGTCTGGATCATCATGATCTTCATCATCTTCAGCATCCACCTCTGCTTCTTGCATGGATATGTCAATTGACAAACTACAATATACCAAGACTAAGATGAAGAGGGAAGGGGGAATTAGTCAATTTAGAAAAAGAGATTTTTTTTAAAAATGCACATTTTGCTATCTTTTTTGAGATTTTTTTTCTCTCTGTGATAACTCTTTGAAAGTTGGTGGACTAAGTGTCTTTATAATTCTACAGGAATGTAAATTAGGCAGGTCAATAGGTCAGGAGCTAAGTAGGCATATATGCATGCAAATCTCCTGCACATCTGTCTCTGAGTCTGATGCTAAGGAGGCCAAATATTCATGAAAATCTTGTGCGGCTGCTGTTGTGTTTCATGTCATTGGACAAGGACTGTTGAAATTGGGATGTAAATCCTTGTGTAATTATACCCCATGCTTGAAAGTAGGAGGGTATATAGTACTTGGGATGTCTGTCCGTTTGTTACGCTTTGGGGAACCCATCTCTTATCTGCAAATCCTCTTATACCACAGAATGAAATTTTATTAAACTTTCACAGAATCTTAATTACAAATTGCCATTGTGACCTCCTATTCTACTTTTTTATTCAACTTGTATTTCAGGTTTCCCATAGGAAAACATGGACATTGCCATTATATTCTTACCTATTACATCACATATAAAGGCTTCTGAATAAAATTTGATAGGACGATTTATTCCTCTTTATACATTACGGTAAAACAATGTACAGCAAAACATGGTCATTATGGGAGGCAGGGGAGCTCATTGTTCACAGTACCTCTAGTTCAAATATATGTCTGCAATTTTAAAGTCTAAATCTACAATTTTTTTTTCACAATGAAATGGAAATATAAGGGATCATCATCTAGTTATCATATTTGCATATCAAGCGAAGCCAGTTAGTCATAAATTATCCCATGTTTCCTATCATTGTTGATGCCCTGGCATACTATACTAACTAGACGGTGATTCATTATCTCAATATTCCCCGATCACTAAATAATCATGAGATTATAAGTTTTTATATTCTTACTTAAATGGATCACACATTGATGCTGACAGCTGAACTGGTTTTCTTGATCGACGGGTTGCTTGTTTGTCCTCTTTTCTCCTATCACAAGATAAAAAAATTTTCAATCCATATCTGAATCCAAGTACAAGTATTGTAAATATCAGCTTACATTGATTTATTCATATTCATAAACCAATCTGAAATTGTGATCTTTTTTCAATATGAATAAATACCCAATTTCTTTTGTAATTCAATGATTCTTTGCACTCACTTTGTATCTTCTTGACCTGATCCATGAAGCTCTTCAACTCCCGACATAGGTTCTCTAAATTTGAATTTAACAATATTATTTTACATTTTCTTGAATAATGTGATTTATTATTCTTTCAGATCATAAATTTATAAAAAATTACAAATACTGCATACTCACATCTCAGACTCTGCAGAGATCTCTGATACGGAGGGCGTTCTCTCACTCTGTGTAATCAGTGTAGAGGAAGGCTTTATAAAAGCATACCCTGGTGTGGAAGTTTTTGTCCATGATGATGAAGTCGATACCTTAGGGCTTTGACTACCTATGACCGGAGAAGCTTGGGTGGTTGGTGTGGACTGGGGTTCTTTGAACGATGACAAGACATATGTTTCATACCTATATAATAATGGACATGTACATAATTATGTATGATAGATAAATGTTAATTATTCCAAACTAGGTCCTTTAAGTTTAAATACATGATTATTATCATGATTATAGACAACTAGTATATAAGCATATCATTTAAAATGTGACTGTTGTTTACATAATACAACATACACATCATATAATACTGTCTTGACTCTTGATAAATTTACACATGGGTCATAAGTTGATACAATTTGCTAACATATGTACTAGGTCTATATTATATGTCAGTCACTCTTTGCAAGGTTCTAACTTCATTTACAACAGCACGAGTACACATGTGCGGAGACGCACAGCCTAATGTGAAACAAAACATAGTGTGAAACAAAACATTACCAATAGAATTTGAGTTGTAACTTGTATGTAAGCCTGTAAGACATTTTCTGGAGAATTTCACAAAAAAGAAATAGTTTAATATAATTATCTAAAAATCCGATTCCTGAAACTCTCTTTGATTAAGTTCATAAAATGAAAGAAAAAATACTCGCCGTTCTATCAACATGTTCGCCATTTCTTCGTCTGTTTTCACGTTGATTTTTTGTTTCAGCGCCTTCCAGCGGTCTACTGTATTCCCTATATACACTCTGCTTTTCGCCAACTTCTGATCATATTCTTTCTTTCTTCTTTTCTTCTCAGATGCTGTCAAAATCGCCACTCTACCTCCTCTTTTCTTCGCTCTCTTTTCCGTCACGTTATCATCCGCCATTTCTGTTTGTGTATGCTAATTTTAGTCACGTGGTTTGATTCGGCTTCTCTCGGCTCGGAAAGTGTGTCAAAAACACGGGTCGTATTTTGGAATTTGTTTTATTAATAACTACGTTCTCGTTGCATATAAAAATTTACTGTAAGGTGATTTCTTGTTTATTTTATTTATAGAATAAGAAAATATCCACAAATATTCATATTTTAAAGCTGAAAATTAATCAAGATGTTACTTTAAGGTATTTCCCGATTTTTGGATGAATACGAAACCGATTAGCCAGGTTCTACCTGCACTTCCTGTTACAGAAAAAAAATCCGAGTCAGCAAGAGCTCCTTTCTATGGTTTGTTCTAGACTTTCCTTTTGGCTGATTGTGATATACTTCTTTGAAACAATGGTAAATATGTATGCTTTGTTGATTTTTTGTCCTATTTTGTGGTTATAATGCACATTTTTATTGATAATTCAACTTGCAACGAAATCTTTCAGAGTAAATTCGGATTGCGTTCTCATTTCACGTAACGCAGTCAGGTGAATCGACTGGTCCTTTTTATGCTTAGTGACATCTATATGAAGGTTTACTAAATTTTGAGTAAGTAATTTAAGGTTATTTTTATTTAAACTAATTGTCATTACAACATATGTGTCAGAACACAACACACAGACAGTGTTTTTGTTCTGACACATGTAATCACAACTTTTATGGACCAAGTGTATCCCATAAAATAATTTAGACATAGGTCAAACAAAAGGTCCAATCTTCTAGGGGATTAATTTGAGGTCCATGCAAAAAAAGTGTAACTATATATTGCATTTGATTTATTCACAGTTGAGGTATTCTAATTATTCTGTGCAGATTTTAAAAAAATCAATCTTTTCAGTATTTTACTGTTGTCTGTATTATATTAAAAATTCATCAATTACATGTTTATTGTCATCCAATTGGAACCTCACAATTAAAATGAAAATTTTTATATCATTAATGGTTCAATAGCAGCCCGATATATAGAGTCGCTAGGTCAATAACACACTGTATGGTGTCTGACACATCCCTTTAAAGTCTAATATGCAGTTATGAATCTGTTAAACACATGGTCTTTTCTGTTTCGCTCTAAACATATAGTACCATTTAACATACCGTATAATCCCTATTAACCGCCCCGGGCGCTTAGAAAATTGCAAAAAGTGGGCGGTTATTTTGGTATAGTCTTTATGATATTTAATGTCATATTTTAACTTAAAAAATCCTTTGAAAATAAAAAATGAATACAAAGAACCACTAAAATAATTTCTAACTTTACTGAAAGTGAAGATAATTCAACCAAATGCTAAATTAATATTCATTTTCCACTGAGAAATCGGTTAATAGACAAGTTTTATTTTCACTTTCATTTTTTTATATGATTCTAGATGATTTTAATCACCGTACAGGGGGCCCTTATTTCCTGACAATTGAAAAATACCCAAGGGGCGCTAATAGGGGCAGGGGCGGTTAATAGG